GGCACAGAAAGCACTGAGCTGGGCTTGACCCCAGCAGCATGCAAATGTGCGACTAAGTGGGGTGGGAGCAGGACAACATGGGGACACAGAGGGCAAGACTGGGTTGAGCTAAGAAAATGAACCCATCCAGTTCCACTGCCCACAGGAGGTGAAAATGGAAGCAGCAACAGCAAATGAGGCACTAAAGCCCCTGGGTTTGGGGCTTTGCCCAATTGCCCAAATGCTCTCTGGGATCAGGCAGCATTGCCCAGTCCCCAGAGCTGGGCTTGGCCTCATCCAGCATCTCCTTCAGCTCCAGCTGGGTCAGACGCCCAGGGCATCAAGGGCTGGCAGGGCTGCCGTGGGCTTAGCACAGGACTCAGTCCGCAGCTGTGAAAGCAACTCCTTCCCCTACCTGTTCAACAAACTCAACCTCTACTTGGGGCTGTTGGGAGAAAAATGCAAAAAATGGTATTTTTAAGGGAGACATTTGGAAATGGGAGTGCATCCTAGCTTTGAGCTGGGACATGGCCGCAGAGAATGGAGGAGTTGCTAGGGCTTAAAGAGGGGGAGTCTGAAAGTCTCTGCATGAGGCCCGAGCCTACCCACACCCAGGAAAGCAAAGCCATGGTAGGAGTAAAAGCTACCAGGTCTTTCCAGGCTGTCAGTCAATGCTTTTCCAAAAACTCCTTGGGGGAAAAAAAAATAAATAAAAATAATAGATGAAGCTCATTACACAATCCAGACTCGCACTTGGCAGCTTCCAGCATGGAGCGCTGAATTTCAGCACAAAAATGTGCAGCACGCTGCAAATCTGGGGACAGGGAGGAACAACACAGCGGCAAGTAGATTTAAAATATGACAGTGGGTGAAAAGAGGACCTGCGGTGGCTGAGGTCACCGGGAAGAGCCCCTGCAAGCTGGTGGCTCTTACCAGAAATTTTGGCCACCATGTAGCCCCCTACCCCTACCAGCCAGAGGAGAGGCTCACACCACCCCGCTGGCCATAAGAAGCAGGGGGGGTGGTGGAAAAAAATTGGCAGATGAGAGCAAGTAAGGTCCTATGAAACGGCATGTTCAGTTTTCTTTCCAATTTTAACTTGTCCTTGACCTCTCTTCGCTCCTTCCCAGCAGGGCTGGCTCTGCTCCGTGCCCATCCCACACTGCGACGCCCTGGTGCAGACAGATGTTTTTGGTGGTACTCACCCCACAGAAGCAGCATTTCCATCCGGGGTTGCTGTGGTAACACATCTCCCTGGAAACACCTCTGCAGTGTTTAGGCAACGCCAAAGCAAATGCATGTACCCAAGATGCTGGGGTTACCAACGGGTGCCAGCGGCCCCTACGCCCATCGCAGCCACTGGGAGCATGGAATGCGCATCCTGTGGGGCAGCTGAACACTTGCAATGGGGTACAGGGACCCCTGGGGTTTTTTTGGGTGGGTAACACCTGTTTTTTGAATCATGCCACTGAAAGACATGCATAGCCCCAGCAGTGATGGTCCCCAGTGGTCCAGGGACCGATGCAGCATCAGGGGAATTTGGGGGATTCTACCTTCGCTATGAGCTGGAACAGCACTGCATCCTCAGGAGTGGCTGGGATGGGGGACTGGCTTGAGGGCCATGTCCAGCCAGGGTGGTGGTGGCCCCCAGGCATCGACTCTGGAGACCAGGTCTGCATTTGGAACAAGGAAGCCAAGCAATGGCCCCTTCCAAAAAACCAGAGTTTGCCTGGGTGTCCCACGTCCCTTTGGTTACAAAGGGTTTGGGTTACCCTGTGCAGCACCTTTCTCCTGCTCATACCATTGGGAAAGGGGCGCGTGGAGCCATATCCCAGCAAAACCGCACCATGGGCAGATCCTACCATAAATCCAGATTTGTTCCATAACATGACTCACAGCGCAGCAGGATTTTCCGCTCAAAACATGACCATGGGCAGAGCTCTGGGCAATGCGGAGATGGAAATGCACACACCCCCCTCCACCAGAGGCGGCCAAGTTATTTAATTATTATTTGTTTAATAATTACTTCGTGTGGAGGTCATTGCAGGGCTTATTTAAGCCTCCTCTCTCAGCTGGGGGAGATAAGGTGAGGACTATTCTGGATACAGTCAAAATTAGCACTGTTATTTGTATTCTTGTGCCCCAAGAGCGAATTAGCTGGTACTTTAAAAAATTCCCAACAGTCATATCATGCCACTCCTTTAATTTCGCCTTTGTCGTCCCATGCCAGAGACAAGCTCAGCTCCATTTCTAGTTCGGCTGCTCTGAAAACCCACAAGAAATCCTGATCTGGTGAGCACAACTCCTTTTACGGCTGAAGAATGCCCTCAGGCACTCCCATACAGCTCCATGGGCTCCCAAATGTCCCCCAAATTGGCCACAAACAGGGTAAGAAAAGCAAAAATATAAATTAATTAATAAACCAACAGAAAACCCCAACCAATAAACCAAAAAAACCCCAGAGCCATCCAGCAAAATTGCTTTTATTTCTGTAATTTCATAAGTATAAAACAAATCAGCCCAATATTGTGTGAACAGAGTGGATCGTATGGATGTGACCACGAGGAGCCTTCCCATGCCTTCACGACACACCTGGCTATTTACAATCGGACAAAGGACACGATTTAGGAAGCGGTAATTTAGTGGAAAAATATCTCTTGTATAATAAAATAGGAAACCTTGTTTCTTTCAATTCTACCCCTCAAATAACACCCTCCCACCCACCCCCAAGATATAACCATTTACCTTGCGCTATGAAGCACAAACTCAGATTTCTAGATTTGGCTGTTCGGGCATCACATATAAAAAAAAATCAGCATATTCCCAGATTGAACCCATTGAGGGCACCCACCAGCAGCTCCCCAGGTGCCTTCCTCTTGGTCCCAAGCACTCAGATCAACCCAGCAGCATCCACTTTGGACACCAGCTGGTGGTACCCACGGCCCCATCGCTCCAGGTGCACGCAGATTTAGGCTCATTTAATGCCCTGCTCATACCAAAAGCTGAATGGCACCAAGAGGGCAGGACAGGGACGGCTGAATCTCTGGCATCCTTTATACAAGGTGACGGTCATGCCAGCTATGGACCCAAAATCACAGTAAGGTCTTAGCAGTTGGTATTGGGAACTCCCGTGTGCTTCAGGAGTGCCATGATCCCAAGGTCACTGAGCCTCATGAACATCTCCCACCCCCTGGGGCAGCGTTAGCCTGAGCCCTGCACAGCAGATATTTGATGGGTGTTGTGGAGCAGGACCCTGCCCAGGAAGCAGCACCATTGCCCTGACGTACAAAAGCAGGACCAGAAGTTGCTGCCGAGTTGTCCTAGTGCTCCTCTGGCTACTTCTGCCATGCACACCATGACTCCACTCCAATCCCAGGTTTGTTGCTGTTACAGGAATGAAATCCCCCACCCCCTATAGTAAAGCCTGTCCCTCCTACTCCTGACTTCTCCAGCACCCAGTGGTACCATCCAGCTTTGGCTGAGCACAGCATCAGAAGCACACAGGTACAACACCTTCACAGTGTCAAACACACAAGTCAAAAACCTCATCCAGACCCTGAGCCATATGGTGGCCATGTGACAGAACTAAACCACAGGGTACAGTACTTCTGCGCTTTGAAGGGCATCTCCCTTTCCCCTTTTCCAATGTGCCTCCTGACAGGATCACACACCGCAGGGGGAAGAGCTCACCCAGCAACTGGCCACAACGACACAACAGCCCAAAACAGCCCAAAAGACTCATCACAGCCGCTGCCCAAAGCTGAACCCTCAGGCGCTTGCTCCCGGGCTGCGGGACCCTCACCTCCCGTCGTGGCTGTAACCCAGCATGGTGCTGTGCCCCTGAGAAAGGAATATAAAGTGCTCATGGACAACCCCACGCTGCCATCCTGGCGTGTCCTCTGCTGCGCATCTCGCATCGCTGCTTCCCTGCACGGGAGAGGATCTGTCACAGCAGCCCACGGATGCAAAAGATCTTGCTGGAAAGACCTAAGTTTTATTTAAAAACTTGGAATATGCCAGGCAGCACCATCAAAATAAAACTAAAAACGAAGTAATTCCTAAATTCTCTTGTCAAAAAAGCACGGATCCCAGAGGCTTTGCCCCTAAGCTGCCTTTTTTAACAAGCTCTTGGGCAAAACAGCCACCCAGTGTCCATCTATCACCCTTGTATTGCACACAGTCGATGCCTCGATAAGACACAAGACCTGATCCCAAAGCGATGGTCTCGGCTCCAGGATCTCCAAGTTTGCACAAGAACACGCTCCAGCCTGTAAAAGCACCCAGCATGCTGCTGGTGGCATACATGCAATAAATAACTACGTGATTTATCCTGACCTTTCATCAAAGCGTAAAAAATAATTAGATCTGTGGATATTCTTCTACTTCATTAAAATATTCAAGCTATAAGCCTCTGTAATCAAAAAGCATGGAGTGAAACCTGTATTCCAGGTAATTAAAGGATGGGGAGGGGAAAGAGAGAGACATGGTCAACCGTTCAGAAGGGGAAATGGGGATGTGTCAAAACGGTCCCTCCTAGCAAGGGGGATGCCTGCTCCAGGTAGCCTCAGTGCAGATTTCCTGCTCTATTTTCTAGGTAGATCTAGAGGCTTACAATATAAAGGCAAATGCAATTTGCTGCTGCTGGGAAGAGCAAGCCTTTGGCTGGGCCACAGCTCTGGTTGCTTGCCCACAAGGGCTTGGGTTTTGGTAACTCACAATTGCAACCCAATGACCGCACAAACAGACCAACCTTGCCCGGGCTTGCAGCAGCGTGGCACCTCCATCCACGACAAAATAACAGAAACTCAGCATCTCCATCAACAATAAAATAACAAACGTGGCATCTCTTCACATGGCCTTTCTGTTAGCGGGTTCAGAAGGATGCCTGGTACAACCACCGCCAGCTCTCTGCTGTCAGGTGAGACTCAGCAGAATTTACCAGCAGGAGTTTAATAGCGAGTTAAAATTTCATGAATTCACCTCTGCTCTGAAACAAAGCTCTTTTTGGTTTGGTTTTTGGGTTTTTTTCCCTTTTAGGTCTCCTTACATTAGAGACTCCCGTCCGTTATTCAGTACTCAGTGGGGACCTTCACACAAGAAACTTTCCCACACGTATTTGGGTAAAATTCACAATCCTACACCAGACCTTAAGCCGAAGGAAACCAGTTTAACTCGGGTGGTGTGATACAGAGCGCATGGACCAAGCAGGTCCTCACAGGCATGATGGCCCAAGGCCACCATGTCCCAGGGAGATGCCATCGGGTAGCTGAAAGCCCCACTGGACCCCATGATTGGGGTTGGGATGCTCCGAATCAGGTCCGAACTCCCCCAAATTGGTTTGCAGCCACAGAGAAACATAGAAGCAATCTCCTCTGAAGTCACTAAGCTGGTTCTGGATTAAAATCCCGCTGCTTCTTTCCCAACACAGAGAGATGGAGATCATCTGTACTAAAATAAGGTGATATCTACCCTTTGGGGGAAGGGCAAATCAGACGTCTATAGCATTAGTCTTTACTGAAGCCTTATTTTGAAGGTTTAAGCAGTACCTGGGTCACGCCCTGGTCCTCTGCACCAGGGTGAGTCTCATCCATGGTGAAAATCTTTAAAGAGGATTGGTTGCCCCATGGGATCACCAATTAAATCATTTAGACATAACACATTTGAAAAATAAAACTTCTTCAAGATAAAGTATAATAACATTAAAAAAAATCAGCAACAACCTTCTAACCACAGAGTATCTATAAAGATCTTTTTAAAGAGCTCCATATTAAAATTCCTTGAATACATTATATATTAAATACAGTAACAACATTTCATGCAAGGTTTTCTGTACAATGAAATCAGCTCAGTAGTATAACAATTCTGTACATTCCCATTGGTCTGGGGGCTCTGCTCATCTTCAATGCTGGTGATGGAAAAAAGAAAGGAAGGATGATATTTGGCACCTACTGTACAGAGGAAGAGTAGCTCTCGCCCAGGTAAAGAGAAACAGAAAATCACAGGAAGCTTGCAAGAGGCAAAAAATAAAATAATAATAATAAAAAACCAACAGCAAAGGAGCAAAATGCCATCCAAAATCCTGGCTCTAGTGCTGTTGCTGGAATTTAAGAGAAAGGAAAGAGAAAGGTCTGGCTACCTAAATAGTATCAGGATGGATCACAGGGGAACGTTGACGAAAACAGGAGGGAGGATTTTGAGAACTGGAGAAGAAACCACCCGCTATCAGCTCCTCAGCTGACACGGCTCCATGGAGAAAGGTCAATTTACTGGATCCACAAACTCTCACTGCAGCCTGTGTCACTCCGGCTGCAGGAAAATCCCAAGAGGATAAAATAAAGTTGGTGCCTTATAAAAAGGGACGCCGCGACAAACACCACTCAGGAAAAAGGACTACGTTATGTACAAGCATACATTCATTCCCGTCTCAAAGGCAGATCACTGGTGTCAAGGATGCCCTGTGCAAGACAGCAATGTCCTCCAAGGCAGAGGACACGAACTCGTGGACACGCTCCTGAGGACTTAAGCTATACTCCTGCTAGGGAAATAGTTAAAAATCAACTGAGTACAGAAAGTGTGACCAGGAGCAAGCACAGACATGAGGAATGCAAAGCTGGTCATCCCCATGCTTTGCTTTAAATGGTTGCCCCTACAAGGAAGACGGCTATAGCTTAAACAGTGCAGGTGGGATCTGACAAGACGTCGGAGGGAGAACAGGCAAGACTACGCTGCGCTTTGGTGTCGGATGAGCCTGGAAAGGTGCAGGGCTTTCCACAACACAGGGATCAAATGGACAGTGTGATCAATAGAGAGAACTTCACCTTCCACCGCACGCGCCCAGCCTCGACGCGTTAACACATATCTGTGAGATCCACACCACCAGTGGTCACCCCTTGAAGCTATTTGCAGCTGCTGCAGCCTGTGGGGACTGCAGCCACTGGAGCAGAGCGCAGCAGCCGCAGCAATGTGCCCACCAACACCGTAGACACCATCGAGGGTCAGTGACCCCAACCCATGGTGCCCTCCCCTGCCCTCGCCCACCACCAAGCCCTTCCCGGCCCCACGAGCTGCCCTTGCACATCCCACCCCGCTGGGGGATGCAATTGCCCACCCTCACTCAGCGTATTGCCCAAAATCCTGACTCCCCCCCCCACCCCTTGATCTCCCGTGAAGGACACCTTGCCTGAGCTCAACCCATCAGGGTGAAAATTGAAAGAGGGTCTCAAATTTTGCAGGAACAAATCACCAAGGAACCACGTTACGATGACCCAGGTCCACACAGCTCCATCCCCAAACCCTACGCCAGCTGTCCAGTAATTGCACTCTTATGTACAGGAAAAAGAAAGCTACAAAACAAAACAAAATCAGTATTTTTCTTTTCGACAATTCACCCGCATTTGTCTGATAGTCGGACACATGCATGTCCTGCTGGCTTCTAGCGATGGTCACGCATGCAAGACTTCAGTCCGAGTTACAAGTTAGGGATCCTTTAGTTAGGAGCGTTTCCTTCGTGTCATTCATTTCTTGTCCTCTTCTCCTGAAACAAAGGGGAAAAAAAACAAAAAAAAAGAGAAGAAAAAGTATTGGTGAGGGTTCAAAAGCAAACCAGCTCCCTGTTGTTATCAAGAGTGGCTGCTCCTGTGTTGATCCCAGAAGGGACCAGGGATCCCGTCTGCACGGAGCTGGCCCAACTGCAGCCACAGCAGCTCAGGCTGCACAAGGAGGAGGATGCTGGTCCCCGGGCGAGGAAGGGCTCAGCACACTCAGCCTACAGGAGGTAGGAAAAGGGATGAGTTGGAGCCGTGCAGGCAGGAACAGTGGGAAGGGGAGCAGGCAGGCATCCCTCATTACCGCTCCTAATGAGAGCACCAGGGAGCACCCAGGGAAAGGCAGTGGTGCGGAGAGGAGGAAGCTCACTGCATCCCACTGCCCACCCCAAAGCCCCATCCTTGCCACAGCCAGATAGATGGACATTGCTGCATGAGCTGACACCACTTACACACAAACTATATATATTTTACATTCCATATACACCTCCAGAACAACCAGCAAGGACCCAGTGGCCCACTGCAGTCGCTGCCCCAGCCCCAGGGCTGCCCTTCTCCCCTCTCCCCTCCCTACTAATGGATGGAGTTGGACATGGAAGGTAACAAGCAACATGTAGCCTGAAAGAAAATTACGGTGTTCAGCTTGAAGTCAGTGTGAGCAGCCTTGAAATCTCTGCCAGAGCTTGACTCTCATCCACTGGATCCCCAATTTTCAAGGAATCAACAGCAGCATCCCTGGTCCCCCCTGAGGCAGCAGCCCGGGGGTTGAAGAGACCTTGCTGGCAGCTCTGTCTGCCCAGAACAGTTTTTTTTCTAAAAAAAACCAACCCACAAGGCGGCACTTTCTGAGAAGAGTTAGAAAAATCACTTATCATGAATCTTTCCACCCTGCTTCTCTATCTTCCATCGCTGCACGCATCACCAAACACATCTCGCAGGGGACCGCTGTAACTGCGCCCTTGATAAATAGGGGTCCTGCCCGGGGTTATCAGTGAGGCTCAGCGCCTGCACTGCCAACCCTGGTGCCGACAAGCTTCCAGGGGAATTAATAAATAGCAGGGGAGAGAGAGAGAGAGAGAAAGGAAAAAAAAAAACCTTTTCTGCAACTTCTGCCAAAGTTTCTTTCCAGCCCTGGCCAGAGAGCCCAGCCCTTGTGTCCTGAGACAGAACTGATGCTGCTGCAATGGCAGCATCCCTCTGGAAGACCTTTGCACTGTGGGCTTCAGAGAGAAGCAGGGATGCTGGTGACCCCACTGTATTAAATCTCATTGCAACGATCAAAATTCACCTCCTCTGCGTTGCAGGGGTGGCTCTTCAGCAGCTCCAGCAGCTAAAAAGTCCCCGCTGGGTAACGCAATGGTGGTTATTTGCCAGCCACAGAGCTTCCCTTAAATGCTTTACCCTGTAGTTGTGCAAACAGGGGGATGGCCACACCGTGCAGGGGCAGGAATGGGACACGGCTGCAGCGCAGACAGCGAGCGTTTAACCACAGTGGGTGCTCTTCAAAATGTTCTCTCGGGCCTCTAAGTAACCCCCCCCACCCCGGCACAGAGCGAGTTGGATGTTTCTGTGAGAACTCAGAAAACGAGTCAGCCCAGGGTCCGGCACCCATGCTGCTTTAACAGCATGCAGGTCCCTGCGTGCCAGGGTCTGGCTCTCCTCTCTGCACACCAGTGACAGGAGCATGGGGGGATACAGGGACCTGTTTGGAGGAATGACAGGGCAGTCACAATCTATCTGAATCTTGCCTCGCACCGAGTTTCTCAGAGTTGTCACAGCCCTTCAACTCTTGCAAACCAGCAACAGAACAACACAAGCTCATCTTGTACAAGATCTGCTCCCCACCAGGACAGCCAAGGCTTTTTGGGAGGTTTTTCCTTGTTGCTTTTGACTCTCTTCCTACGAGGTTCCCATAAAAAGTGATGCTGGAGGGATGCAGGCTCACTCCTTCCACCGAGAGAAATGCTGCAGCCCTCGCAGTTCTGAAAACTGCACATCTCGCCTGTTGCACCAGTGTACCTCGAGCTTCAGCCAAGACCCTGGACCCAAGGAGAAAACCGAAAGGGAAATCCTCCTCCCATCCCTTTGCAATAGCAGGGCAGCAGCACCAAGAGCTTCCCTCTGCTCTTCCATTTCTAAAGCATGGCACATGCACACACATAAAAAAAAAAAAAACCGAACAAAAGGAGAAAAGGGGGGGGGGGCAAAAAAAAAAAAAAAAAAAAGCAAGGCAGCAGAGCTGTAGAATCTTGTCTGGAGAGATTCGGGCACTGAAAGTTGTGGTACTGCTCTCCTTCAGAGCATCTCACAGCTGAAGCAAAGGGCTTGGCCCGTGGGATGCATTCCTCCCCCGGCACCAGCGCCCAGCCAAGGTAGCTCCGCGCAGAGATTACCCTACAAGGGCAGCCACGGCCACGGGTGCTCGTTCCCGGCTCTCGGTCGTGCCAGGGAGAGGGACGCCTGCCGCCTCCGCAGGGAAAGCAGGCGGCTGCCGCAGCCCCTGTGCTCCCAGTGGGGTTTCGGGGCTGCCCTCGTCCCCAGGTGCAGATGCACAGGGGAGATGAGGGTGAGCAGCTCTTTTTCGCTACGTGCTGGAGGCTTTTTGTGATGGGACATGGAGATTTTGGTCCCTGCAGCTTTTGGGCTGTCTCAGAGGGATGCGGAGCCCTGGCTGGCCCTGGCAGGGAATGTGACGCACTTGTCACCGCACAGCCACCTCTGCCAGCTGCTCTCCTCTGGGAGGATGTTAAAGCATAAAGCTGATGCTGACTTTGCAGATAAGAGGCCAAATGTCCCTTGGCAGTGGCGATGTTCCCCCAAGGGTGCAATCTCACCTGCACATCAGCTGCGGTGGCAGGAGGCTGCAGAGCATGGTGCTGCTTGTCAGGGACCAGACAGGTACCCGGTGGGGACAGGTACCCAGCGGTGTGGCCACCACCTTGCAGCTCTTGCAAAATCACCCGGGGGCTGCCATCTTCACCGGGCGTAAGGACAGATGGCTGCATAAATGCTAACCTGTCATAAAACAGGCCACGACAGTTCTTGTGCATCAAAACTTCTGATTTTCAACGATGCTGCCCCTGTTGGGGCGGCTGCACAGCTGTGTTGCAGAACGCACCCACTTCTTGGCTCGCTCCTGCTCTTACCCCGGCAGAGGTGAGAAACGGGGAAGCCCCAGCATGCAGGCAGGGCCTGCTGCTTAACGTGCTGAAAACAAGTGAAAACACCGCGGTGGCAACACCAACACCTGTGATGGGTTTGCTTCCCGATGGTGAAGATGAGGAGTCCCAGAGATGGTGCAGGAAGGCTGGACAGGAGCGGGGTGGCCGCAGCAGTGGGCTGACGGCACACAGAGGAACACGAGCACCAGGGCTATCTCAGTGTCCTGTCTGGATTTTGTACTTTTTAAGAACCACTTGGAAAGGAGACTTCTGCAACGTCTTGGCACAGATGCCTGGAAACCTTCCTCCTACATGCCGCAGGGCTCGGAAAGCAATGCACTTAAATGTGTAGAGGTCTGCAAATATTAAAAATACTAGGGCAAGAGGTCCTTGAGGGTGGTCAGCCCTCGTGAGCCTGCCAGCATGTATCGGTGTGATGGACGCCCGAGAGGGACTTGGAGAACACCTCCATGTTCCTGGCCAGAACATCTGTGAGTCCCACCAAGCCAACCTAGCTCAGCCGTGCACTTGCATTGTATCCCAAAACTGAGACAGCAAAAACCTCAGAGGGGGAAGAGATGGATGAAGGCAGCGATACACACAAGGCATGCAAGACGAGAGGCTAGGAGTGACCAGGATGATGAGAGGAATGTAAAGCACCGAGACCACGGCAAAAACCGAAGAGTCTCAGCTTTCTGCCGCTTCAAGGACAAGGAAAATCCAGCATAATGGAAACATGACTTATCTAAATCTGATCAAAGGAGAAACTTTTCCATGCAAAACCTGAATCAGCAGAACTCACAGCTATACATTTGCATCCCTCAACTGAATACCCTTGGCCATCCCTCAGATTTTGGCCTCAGAAGGTCCCACGCTGGACACCATCCCCAAGTGCTGCCTTTGCAGAGACCAAGCAGTAGCCTGGCCCCTGACCAAAACTGCCATGCAAACGGCTGCTTCACAGGCTTTTTAGACCTTATTTTGAAGCAAATCACAGAGATCAGTGTGGGAAAGGAGACCCTGTCTGGGTACAGGGTCCCTGGGCTCCACTATCGGCTGGGGTTTCAAGCCACATTCACCCGGACACAGCCCGAGCAGGTCCCCACCACATATGAGCAAGACTTTGGAGGAAGCACAGGAATACGGCATTCGGGGATGAGACACGTAAGAAAGCCAACCCTTGCTCTGGAGTCCTGCAGGTTTTCAACTGGTGCTCCCCGCTCCACATGTGTCTTACCGTCCTGAGAATGCCTGGTAAAAAAATCACAATACCACATTTAAAAGTGGCTTTTGGAGGTTTTTTTGTTTGCTTTTCAAAGCCCAGAGGAATTAGGAAGATGCAGGATTTCAATTATTTCTTTCAAATGTGATGATTTAAGCGTGATTTTGCCCCGTAGCCATGACTGCATAGCTGCATGGGAAACCCTTGCTGGATGAGACACAGCGCGACCCGTGAGCATCAGCAGCATCGTGACCATGGGGATGAGAGTGGCTCGGAGAACTCGGTACGCTGTGAGCATGGCATGGGAGGAGGAAACACTCTGAACTGGTATGATGGGACTTGAAAGGATCATACACTTGCCAGAAACCCCGCTGTGCTCAGAGCTGCGCTGGCAGGGCCAAAGAGGAGCCCTTCCTCCAACAGTGCTGAGTTTTTATAGAGAAATGCAAAGTGTGGGAGAAAGATAGACTCATCCCCAGATCACAGATGGTGAAGTGAAGACCCAGGGCATGCATGGGATGCAACAGCCAGGAATTAAACCAGCTCTCCTGCACCCCAGCTTGGTGCTGCGCCATAAAATTGTTGCTACAGGCTTGTAATCACGTGGTAAAACAGACCTGTGTGATGCAAAGCACCTATCAGTCCTCTGAGAGATGCGACAATTAACTAAAAATAAGCTTGAAACAACTTCTATCTGGTCTGTAAAAACAGAAGCCCCTACAACTCCACTTCTCAGTGGAGGCTTCGCTGAGCAATCGCTGTGGTTATGTATCAGCTCACCGCAGAAAGGAGAGCAGATGTGAGCACCCTCAGGGCACCGGGACCTGCCAATGGGGAGTACAACCAGTCTGCAATCATCTCCTGTTTGCAATCATTTCCCATCCCATATTTCCAGCTTTTTACATGGTTCTGCTCCATGAGAAACCAAATAGAGTTGTTATGATGCCCCAGATGCCAGGGCTAGATGGATTTGCCTTCAGCCTTGAAAGGCAAAAGTGGCTTTCCCACAGTTTTCCTGGGTCAATATTAAAGGGTGAAGGCAAAAGGAAGGGTTCACTAGGATGCTGGTTGCCTAAGGGGGAAAAAGGTTTGAGGAAGGTGATGCTGTGGAAGGACCTCCAGTCTGCACACCTAGGTTGCTCATCTGCCCCCCAGGGCCACCACATCTTCCTCAGGCAAGGATGATGTCTCTCCTGCCCTTCTTCTCCCTACTATCACTGCCAGGGAACATGCACCCTAAAAAAATGAATAAAATCTATTTTTCTGCAGAGGGGCCAGCAGCCCCAGCCCCACAGCCGCTGCCAGGAAAACCTGCAGGTTCAACTTGGCGCCGAGATATCACCCACAGCAACATCTTTTGCAAGAAATGAAAGAAAAGATGGTATCATCTCTTTGGAGGGCTGCCTAAATACATGCTGTGATTTACAGTGCACAGCCCGGGAGCACATGGGAACCGCTGCCCCGGCATTGCAGGAGCTGCTTCTCCTCCACGTGTGCCATGGGGCAGATCCTGAGAGGTGCTGGCCAAGGGCAATCCCTTCATAAACAGTTCATAAGGCGTTCAGCTCTCGTTTGATCTTAACACAGAGGCAGCAAACACAAGGATGGCCACAGAGGGGTGGAAGACTGAGGGAAAAGGGAAGGATTCCTGTTAGAAACCAGTATTTGATCTGGTTTGCTTCATAGGAGAAGGGATCCAGTTCCCAGAGGTTCGAGATGAGCTGGATGAACACATGTGGCAGATTTATCTAGTGCTGCAGCTTTTAAGGCAGTATTTCAAGCACATGTAAGTACCGACTGCTCTGCCTGGCACCTGGGAAGGAAGGGGGTAGGAGAACAAGTCCCTTTTTCACAGCAAAGGTGGATGAACATGCAGGTGCAGACACCACGCAAGCGGAGGAGGTGAGCGAGGTGTCCGTGAAGCCAACCATGAACCCCAAGCAAAGCACCATGGAGCAAGCATAACCCGGTGTGGTGCAGACCATGCTCACCATCCAGGTGGTTGCGGGAAAGGTACTTGAGTCCTTCGTCCAGCAGGATAACGGGCAGGGAGATTTTCATTACAACCACCCACTGCGGCCAGCTCAGGGGGGTTACCTGGAAGATGAGCTGCGAGGAGGAAAGGATTGGACATGTCAGTAGGGAAGGAGGTGGGGTTTTTTTGTTTGTTTTAAACGTCAGGTTGTTTTACGGTACAGGCTGGGGTACAGGTACAAGGAGGAAAGATCCAGACAGCCCAAAGAACAGGATTTCTTCAAGGTCTGTCATGATCCCAAGGTGGCTCTTGGCCAAGATCAGTCAAAAACTATGTCCTTCAGCTCTCCTGCAGATGAGGAAAGTGAGGCACAAGCTAGGACTGTATGTGCTCACAGGCACTTAGCAGGGGACAAAGGACAACGCAACCTCCTGAGCACAGTGACCCACTTCATTTTAAGCACCCTTAGGCATCAACCAAGGCATCACCAGCCTTGGACTGCAAAGGGAGGCAATGCCTCCAAAAGGAGCTAAGATATCCATACCCCTTTGCATTGCCTTAAGTAAAGGGCTCACTGGGGCAGGGTGTCTCCCAGTCCCCATGTTGGTTCAAGTCACAGGACCTGGTCCTGAGGGCACATGCTGGGGACAACCGTCCCAGAAGCTTCCAGACCCAAAGGCTGCTCCAGGGGGTGTCCTCACCCACAGGAGGAGCCCCCTGGGCTGTGCTCAGAGGTGGCACAGGGCACTCACAGGCATGGGCTTGACGTAGAGGATGAGGAAGTGCAGAGCCATGGACATGACGATGGCCCCCAGCAGCCAGATGTTGAGCCACGGTGGCATCCGCAGCAGCGACTGGTTCTCAGAGACACTGTGAAAGCGAGGGGACAGCATTAGCCCCGATAACCTCCTGCTCCCCGTGCCTGCCCAAGCTGGGGGCTCCCACTCCTCTCCAAGGCTGTATGCTGTAGCCCCTCTCTTCCAGACTGTTCTTCAAAGCTTCAGGCTTTGCCATGATTTGCATCTTGGCACCCATGTCAACGCAACCAGCCGTGCACGAATTAAGACTGGTCATTAACAGGGCCACACTGCTAATGGATGCAGATCCAGTCCTTCCTCCATCGCTACCGACAGCAGCACGCTGGCTTGGAGGAGTTTATTTACAGTGAGCCCAGCAGTCCCCTGTGAGAACACTCTGAGTGGCTCTGCTGAGTCAAAGCAAAGCCCTCAAGCCCCCAACGGATCCTCAAAGAGACCCTACACAAAATTGCTCATGCGTAGAGCATACAGAGCAGTCCTGCAGCCACCCTACCTGTTCAGAGCATTACACATTTCAATGGTCACCAGCACGGACAGAGCCATCGTGGTCGGGTATCTGGACTCAAAGATCTCACAGTCAATTCCTTCAAAGATGGGGTTGTCCTCGGTGCACCTCATGAAGTTCCTCTGTCGGCACAGGAAACCGCTGGTAAATACACAGCAGAGCAGCAGTGTGGGAAAGGCAGGAAAGAGGAGGAAGAGGTCGACTGGTTGGGGTGGTGAACCTTGGTTACCAGGGGTGCTGTTAAATATCCCACAGTTCAGAGCAACTGATAGAACTGTCTGAAGTGACCCAGCTTCTGCTGTGGTTCAGGCTTTGGAGTTATGGGTGCACAATGGAAACCGCTGGTAAATACACAGCAGAGCAGCAGTGTGGGAAAGGCAGGAAAGAGGAGGAAGAGGTCGACTGGTTGGGGTGGTGAACCTTGGTTATCAGGGGTGCTGTTAAATATCCCACAGTTCAGAGCAACTGATAGAACTGTCTGAAGTGACCCAGCTTCTGCTGTGGTTCAGGCTTTGGGGTTATGGGTGCACAACGCCTTAGAGATTTTCACGTGCAGTTAATAAGGTGTCTGAGCACACACACATCTCCATCAGAAACACATCTTCCATTGCACATGACACTGGGCACAATGGCAACTGCTTTCCCACCACCTTGTTCAGACCTACAATAATGTAAAAATCGATCCCTTTCAATGTGGGATCAGGTACAGGAGCTACTGTCAGCTTCTTTGAATCAAGTTTTTCCCACCATGCTGGTCACTGACAGAAGCAAGGCTAGAAATAGGAGCCTGAGGGAGAGACTTTGCTTTTATTTTAAATTATTGTCTTCTCCACCAGGAATGTGGGAACACTACAACAGCCACAGAAGAAAGGTAGAGGAAAGACCCCAATGCGTGAATCGATGCCCTCACCCATCTGCTCAACACATCATCCCGTTCCTCTCCCGACTCACCAGCTGATGGAAGGAGACCTGCGGTCCTTCGGCATCGTACAAGAACCACCAGGTCGCTGCGCCCACCGTGGCCAGGCCCACGTACACTGCAGCCGAGAGAGACACCCTTACCCCCAGCACCGGGCAAGGAGCCCCCTACCCCAGGGCACCCCCTGCCCATCCCCGTCCTCTGCCCACCAGCACCTGCGAGGGCTCACCTCCGATGGCCAAGTAGCGGAAGAAGAGCCAGCCGCTGATGAGGGGCTCCTTGGGGTTGCGGGGCAGCTTGTCCATAATGTCCAGGTCAGGGGGGTTGAAGCCCAGCGCAGTGGCCGGCAGTCCGTCCGTCACCAGGTTCACCCACAGCAGCTGCACGGGGATGAGGGCCTCAGGCAAGCCCAGGATGGCCGTCAGGAAGATGCTGCAGGGAAAAAAACAGAGATGCCAAATTAGATGAGCTCCAGAGCAGCCAGAGAAAGCGTCTGTGTTGTGCAAGGGGAGACCAAGCAGGAACCCTGGATCCAAACACCCCACACTGAATATTCACCCAAAGCTCCACAGATGAACCCGCAGTCCCTGAGTCAGGAGCCTAAAGTCCAAAGACTGAATTTTGTAGTTAAAATTTTTTTCTGTTGCTATTAAAATTTGCTTTGCAGTTGAAATCCAACCACGGCCATGTGGGTTGCTGTTCCCAGCACAAACACCCCTGCTGAAATGCAAGGGCAAAGGATGCCCAAGTGACCCCAAGGCTGTGCCCACGTTGCTGAGGACAGCACTGATTTACTGGGAGGGATGGGCAGGGGACAGGGACAGGGAGAGCTGCCCAGGACCTGATGCAAAGGGCATCAGTGTGACCTGGTGACAATAATCTCTCCACAAATATCTGCACCCGTATTAGACGCTGGCATGGGCTTAAATAAGCAATGCATTAACAAAACAGCTCCTGGGGGACACAAAGGAAAAATCTGTGTCCCTTGGGGAATACACAGAGCTGCTCGATTTGGTACCTGGAGTTACAATTCTGGGCACCCTATGCTGCCAGGGGCGGGGGACATGGCCAGGTCACCTGCCCCAGGGGACACGGTCCCACCACTGCTCCCCCATACGCAGTGCCCGGTGCAGGGGGCTCTCACCAAACGACCTCCCCGACGTTGGAGGAGATAAGATAGCGGATGAACTGCTTCATGTTGTTGTAAATGGCCCTGCCCTCCTCGACAGCCGACACGATGGTGGAGAAGTTGTCATCAGAGAGCACCATCTCGGCGGCCGACTTGGCAACGGCCGTGCCTGACCCCATGGCGATGCCGATCTCGGCTTTCTTCAGGGCCGGGGCATCGTTGACACCGTCGCCTGTCTGCATGAAGCAGTGATTAACAGGGTGCAAGAGACTGGGCTGGGTGGAGAGGAGGGGACCAAGGGGTGGTGGGGCATCCCCAAGGGACTCACCATGGCGGTGATCTCGTGGAAGGACTGGAGGTACTCGACGATGCGGGACTTGTGTGCTGGCTCCACGCGGGCGAAGCATCGGGCATCACGGCATGCCTGCCGCTGCGTCTCGGGGGGCAGTTCGTCAAACTCCCGGCCAGTGTAGGCTTTGCCGGCCACATCCTCGCTCTCTGAGAAGATGCCAATCCTGCGGCAGATGGCCACCGCTGTGCCCTTGTTGTCTCCGGTGATCATGATGACGCGGATGCCGGCCTTGCGGCACATCTCAATGGAGGAGGTGACCTCCTTGCGGGGAGGGTCCAGCATCCCCACGCAGCCCACGAAGGTCAGGTTGTTCTGGCAGGGGGGGACAGCCCCAGGCCCACGTTAACCCTGGGGGACACAGCTGCTTCCCTCGCCGCTGTGAAACCACCCCAGGCACAGGGATTTCCCCTGGGAGGAAACTTCCAGGAGGTTTCCTACCAAGAGCCCCATGGATGCACCCTATAGCCCCAATGCAGTGGGGTGTTCCCATCCCCTCTGCTGCTCCTCACACCTTTCCACTTTGCTTCCCACCCCCCTGTCCCTCTCAGTGATCCCTGAACCCCTCTCAGTGGTCACCCCACGGGGATGGATGCCCGGTGGGAGGGGGCTGTTGGCCTCAGGACCGGCCCTGCTGCATGCAGCTCTGCACCAGGGTTTGCAGAGGAGGAGCTGAGCCATTGCACTGCCTGGTGGCCACAGAGCAACCAGAGAGAAAATACTGCTGAGGCAGCTGGAAGTGAGTGGAAAAACTTAAGGAATAAGGAAAAAAGCTCCTGGAGAAAACCCCTGGTACTGTACCTCATAGTGGACAAAGGCAGCAGAGTCGTGCAGCTGCATGGTCTCCCTGCGGACAGGCGCGTCGTGGGTGGCCAGGGCCAGGCAGCGCAGCGTGTCGATGCCCATGCCCCAGTCCCGGATCCTGCCCAGGATCTTCTCCCTTACCGGGGCCGTCAGCGGGACCCTGGCGGTCCCCACGCGGACATGGGTGCAGCGCTCGATCACGCTTTCTGGGGCACCCTGGGGAGGAGGAGCAGAGGGCTTAGGAGCTGGAATGAACCTGGAGGATGAGCATCTCTTGCCAGCACCGAAGGAAGTGCGGCAGGGAAGGCAGGCACCAAATTTGGGCAAAGGAGAAGGAAATCTCCCCAAAACTCCAGCAGGCAGATGCCGGCACGGCGGCTCAGTGCGCTAGATGGCAGCCTCCAACCAAGTGCACGGGGACCGCGGCCGGGAAGGATGAACCCGCATCAGGTCACCAGAGAGCAGGATCTGCTCCATGGGGGTTCTGTCTGATCTCCTGCAAAACCTACACGTCTGCCTGGGATGCTCCCGCCCTGCGGATCCCCTCTCAGACCTGGAGGGGATTAGGGCCGTAAGCCTCTGCTGAAAACACGCACTGCCTGCGGGATGCTGAGCAGATGCTTGCAATGCCTTTGCGATTCCGGGAAACACGTCCTTTAGCATCACGGCATCTCACCCTTACGAAGGACCCCCGACATTGCTTTTTAGTATAAAACTTGCAATCCTTCTATTGCTCCTCTTAAAAAAGCTCACCCGGGACTGGCAGAGCCATGGATGCGGTGGGTCCAGAGGGTCCCAACTCATTCTGGAGGACAGAGTTCACCCACCCAGAAAATCCCCCAGTGGGAACAACAACATACAAATCTTCTTGGAGTCAGCGGGGTTTTTTCTGCTGCATCTCTTCTCTTGGGAAGAAAATGCCCTTTAAAATTTTATTTTAGTTCTGGTTACAGTGGAAAGCTGGACATCGCCCTTTAGGCATTACTGGTGTCCAGAGGGTCCAATCCTTTAATAAAAGCGAGTGCCCAAGTTTTGTACAGGGGCAGTTCTCCCCTGGCCCCAGCACCAGCACCCTCAGGGCCTTTTCCTCCCTCTAAATCATTTTATCTCCTTTTTTGCCTATCAACACTGCAAAGACTCCCCTCCTCCCTGACCACACCAGTCTATCTGCTGGCTCCTGGACAGCAAAGGGAAGAGACAAACTGCAAAGCATCGCTGCCTGCTGCCATAAGGGCTAAATCCTGCTGGGGTCTGCATGGGGAAGGAGGATCCTGCAGGGTGCTGAGGACCTTTTCCCCTACCTTGACGAACATCTTGCTGCTGGCGGAGTTGTGGCCAGGGCCGGTGGGTGTGCAGTACACAGACATGGACTTGCGGTCGCGGGAGAACTCCAGGGTGCACTCCTTCCTCATCAGCTGCTTGATCACCTGCGGGGACAGCGTGGGGCTGAGCAGGGATGCGACAGAAACAAAGCAGCCGGTGCTCTCTGCCTCGGCTAACAAACCTGCTGAGCTGGCACAGCACCGCTGACAGAGGAGAAAAGCAACCATAGGAGCCAGGAGGGATGGGACAATGTAAAAAGCAGAAGCAGCTTTCCCTATGCAGTTTTTTGGGGGAATTTTAACCCCTCCAACTACGCCATTGCTGCCCAGCCCACAGCACATGCCAGCACGTGGCAGACCTTTATTTTATTGACCCCACACAGCATGCCCAAAAGCTGCCGTAGCCTAAGATAAAGCCCCATTTGCCAGCAAGGGGGAGACTTTCCCCCGCACTGGGCTCCAGCTGCGCTGCAGGAAGGGGAATCGCATCCCACTCGTTACCACTTGAGGGGTTTGCCCTGATCCTCCACCCACAGGGGTCAGCGGGAGCCGGAGCATCAACATCCCCCGAGGCTGGATTGGTTCCCGATAAGTTAACCAGCTCCACAGTTAAGATTAATTAGGCTCATTTCAGGACACGCTAATTACCCCGAGGACTGCCAGCTAAGTAGTAACAACCATTCGCTCAAATGGTACCCGCAGCTTTGTAGGGTGAGGACAGAGCAGGGGCTTGCCCCGGGGCATGGACCCATGGGCACAGGCAGTGCCCACAGACAGGCTCCTGCACCCCAACACCCCCCAAAACCCCACCACAAACCAGGCTCTGCTATAGCTGCCGGTTAACTGCTCACGGAGCCGAAGCCAGGCAGCAGCCAGTCCTCCTCAGACCGATCCCCCTCCGCCTGGCTCAACTGCTTATACAATTATTTTTAGTTGCCAGAAGGGTGTTGCTTGCGAAGGGGACACAACCAGCTTTTTGCATTGGACTTTTACAGCAACTTAAATCTAAATAAATCAGTGAAGTGGGCAAAGGAAAAGAAAACACCTTTTGGGGTGAAACCTTGCAAGTTCAGAGTTAAAAGTATGCTCTTACTGAAATGAAGCTGTGAGCGGGAGCTGGTGAGGTGGAGAGATGCGCAGAGGGGATTTGCCCATGCAAAACGCGGGCATTGTCTGTGGATATACCTGGCAAACACCAAGCGACTCTCCGAGGCCAAACCCAGCCCAGGGTACAAGCGCAGTGACTGCATGGCAGAGGTGGAAAGTTTTGTGCCCACAAAAGCAGTGCTGTTCCCGCCGGGCATTGAACGTTCGGCGCAATGTGGCGGTGTGCTCCCCCCTCGTCTCTGACTCCCCCTCCTTTGCCTCTTTCAAGTGATAACCACCTATGGCCATGGTGATAGATGCATCTGGTCTGTGTCTGGTCCTGAAGGATGCACCCACTGGGTGTGGGGGGAGACAGATAACAATACAATAGCCAAGGGCTATTGTGGAATGTGCCCACCTAAGCACAGTGGTCAGTATGCAAATATGACTATGAGCCAATTATCTTACCCCCATCAATAGTGAGCAGCCCAAGTCCTTTGAGCTCTCCTGCACGGCAGCGGGCTGCACACCAGGATCTCCCCTTGAGCAGGGACGCTTCTCAAGGTTACTCCTTGAGGTTGAGAGATTCCTTACCACGACAGATTCTCGGTAAGTGACTAACAGTATGCTAACTTGGAAATCTTAGCTAAGTGACATAAAGGATTGACTGCGCATATATAATCCTTTAGACATAAACCGTTGACCAAGTCTGGGTCTAGGATTGGATCCAGCCACACCTAGACTCCTCTCTGAGGGAGTTTAGAAAGCAAGGGGATCTTTTCTGAACCTCATGACTCAACGGGAGGGTCTCCCGGACAGTCTTGTCTGACTCTGTCCTCTGTGCAGTAAATAACAAAGTGTACCTTGCCATTGAATCTCAAACTATTGTCGCAGTTACCACTGAACTTTGTTAACTCACTGTTTTACACCAATAAACCACATTATTTTTGCCTCCCTCTCACTCAATCCGCGACACACAGCAGCAAGGACACGTGGGAGCAGCCAGCCGCTGTGGAACCCCCAAAATCCCACCAGAGATTTCAAAGCACAGAGCTACTGGGAGCAAAATCAAGAAGTAGTGAAGAAATGCTGCCAGGGAACTCCAAGTAAGGGTATTTTTGTCCCTGCCCAAACACAAGAGGAAGGAGAGAAGCACCAGTGACCGAACCAAGCCAGGCGTCTGAGTGGAAGGGCAGTGACGGGCACGTGCAATGAAGCGGCTGCCGGACTGATGCACAGCTGGGGAATTCCATCTCCCTTATCAGAAAGGAGTCAGGGGATTTACCGTGACCTGCTTGGACCTATCTGGGGAAGAAATGCCAGAACAGAGAGCCCTTCCTTCAAGCAAGCAAAGACATTTTAAGATCTAACAGCATGATACCAAAGCCAAGTAAATCCAGACGTGAGATAAAGTGTATTTTCACCAGGAGGACAGGGAGAGCTGGAGTAGGGGAATAGCCAGCACAGGGTATTTTCACATCAAAACCAGACGTTTCCAAAGAGCCAGCTTTGTTCAGGCAGGCATGGCTCTGGGGAATGGGGTTTGGTTCATGCTACAGAGGACAGCTGTTCAGTGCAAGCTGGGCACCCAAAGATTTGCTGCGGAGCTACAAAACCCAAAGCTCCTCATCTGCAGCCGGAGCTCTGGCCATCACCAAGGGGGTCTCTTCTGGCCGAGCAGGGGGTTTGCTCCTGGGCTTAGTTTGAGCCTCAGGAATCACCAACTCCGAAGCTCCATGCGGACCCAGGTTAGTCCCCACAGCCCCGGCATCAGCCCCCGCAGAGCCACTGCACTATCTGTTCCAAAAACCCAGCACCCTGAGAGCCAGGAAGTTGCATCCTTATGACAGATCAGTCCCTCAGATCACTGCAAGCAGTTATTGCTCAAATAAGTCATCCCAGAGCCCTCCTCTCCCTCCTGACCCCCAGCACCAGGCCTGACAGGGGCCTCCCCCTGCTCACCGAATTGCAGGCGTTGGCTCGCTCCACCTTGGAGAGTTTGCTGGTGTCAGTGTTGAAGACGTTCATCTTCTCCACCAGGCACGTCAGGGCTGTTTCAGTGGCTTCCCCCACCTTCTCGTAGACTTTTTTGGACTAGAGGGCAATAGAAACAGGAGCTGCAGAGCACAGCCCCTACCTGCTGCTCCCACCAAGGATGCTGCTGCCCACTGCACCATAGACCCGGGGTGGGCTGGAGCCAGGGCAGGGGATCCCAAGGGACAAATCTCTGCTGCAAAGGGGCTCGCAGTGAAGGGAAGAGCATCGCTGGTGCCCACCCCGACACCGCCCCAGCCCCGGTGCCCCCCGCACCTCGTTGTAGTCCAGCGAGGAGTCATTGCAGAGGGCGCAGATGGTGGCCAGCTCCACCAGCCCGTCGTACTGCCCGCACTGCACCGGCTGCTCGTCCTTCAGGCTGCGGGGAGAAAACAACCCCCAAAGCCTTACACCTCACCGGGTTACACGTTCAAATAATACTTAGCTTCTCCTACATATCCCTTGCAAAATTTTCTGAAAGGAGGGAGAAAGAGCCCAGTTAAAGCCCCATGCTTGGCAATAAACACTTAGGTTCTCATTTTGTACTTCACCAAATGTGGCAGGGCTATTTGCAAATAAAATATCACAGGAGGCAAATAAACTCTGGAAGTGCCCCAGAATAAAGGGGGCTGCAGAGGAGCTCAAAAAGAGCTTTGGACCTGAAAGCAGGGGCTGTCAAAAGGCTGAGAAAAGGGGCAAAGAAATTCAGGTTAATATTCACTCCCTAGGGGTTTCCAGTTACTGGGTATCCAGCAAGTCCCTTCTCCTCCCCGTGATGCTGCTGCACGCTCCAGTGAGCCGGAGGGCGCTGAAGGGAGCATTTAACAGCAGCAGACAAATTTAACAACTGCATCGCTGTGGCTGTTTCCAAGCAAGCAAAGAACTGTGGCCTTCGCTTCCTAAATGGCAGCTCTTTGCTATGCAAAGGAGCACAAACGTCACTGGAAAGGAGCAGCCCTGAACACACCGGTCCAGCCTGACGCCGCTGCTTGCCCGCTGCCCGGTGGCAGGAACAGCAGTGGTGGTTTTCAGGTGAAATAAAAAATTATCCTGACTTCAGGAGACGTAACTGCAGGTTAGAGCTGTATAAACCCAGCCGGTCATCTGCTTGCTGGAAAAATAATCTGTCAGGCATTTATTAGGATCAGTTTATTCCACTGCTGGTTCCCAATGGAAAGAACATTTTGGAGCCCTTGTTACATCTCAGGAGCGGAAAAGAGCAAGCGGCCAAGAAAATCTGAAAAATCTGTTTGCTGAGGGACAAGAAGCTGCGCTGGGCCACAAGCAGGCAGGGGAGAGCCACTGCCTCTAGCCCCGAGGATGCTGCCCAGCCCCGGCTCCCAGGCTGGGGGAAGGCAGCGGGTGGAGGAGGGAGCCTGTGGACACTGCGCTGGGTTCTGATGTTTGGGAAGGTGGAAATACCAGGGCTGGCTTTTGCAGCATGCGATGCCCTGGGAATCATAGAATGTTTTGGGTTGGAAGGGACCCCTAGAGGTCATCTAGTCCAACCCCCCTGCAGTGAACAGGGACACTGCTAACTAGATCAGGTTGCTCAGAGCCCCGTCCAACCTGGTCTTGGATATGGCTGGGAAGGGATGGGGGCGATGTGTCCCCATCATCAACTGTCTTTGCACAGAGCCAGGCAAGATCCGTGCACCAGGAAAGGCATCAGCAAAGGCGCTGCTGGATGGGTGCTGTGTGGGGACGCGAGCAAACACGAGGCCAAGCAGGTAATATCCCCCACATCAAGACCAGGCTAAAGCAAAGACACCAAGCCCTCCAAGCATTTCAGCCCCACCAGCCATGGGGGAATGGGGAGGGTTCTCTCCTAAGCGAGCCCTTGCACACCCCTTGATGCTCAGGGCAAGCACAAGGCTGAAAAAAATCTCAAAAGCAACGTGAATTGCTGCAGACCAATGCAGAGCCTCATCGCAGGCAGTCCCTGGAGGGGACGCTGCAGCTTCAGAGGTTAGCAGACATGAGTTCAGCTCCTCAGTCCTCCTCATTTAACTGAAACACACTGATTGATACCAGCTTATGACCAGGCTCACTTTTTTTAATGGAGATTCCTAGCCAAGGATCAAATTGGCTCTGCAAATATTCATGAAATTAAGTCTGAGGCTGGGATGAATTATAGTCGCTCCACAGATGAGCAGAAGGGACTGTGGTGAAAAACATGCCCGGGATCACACAGCAAAGCGAAGGGGAGCAGGGAGCGCTCGGACCACCGGCTGAGCTTCTCATCTTCCTCCTTCCCAGAGGTTCTCCACACTGGGGAGCATCACCTCCCTTTGAAGGACAGGGAATAAACAAACACAATGGCAGAAAACCCCATTTGTGTAATAATGCGCCAGGGAAAAGCCCCTGGCTTCCACTCCCTGCTCTCAGCTGCAGCTCAGCAAAGCCCACGTCTCCCCCGAACTGTGTCCTGACATCAGTAGGATCGTGCCCCAGGCACAGCAGCCATCTCAGCCATCCCTGCCGAGGACGTGGGGGCTCAGGGAGCGCTTTCCTGCCAGGGTGTGCAGCCATCTGCAAGTCCCTCAAGTCCCAACAAGCTGCCGGCCTGGGTCCTGCTTGGGGCAGGAGCAACAGTCGCCGGCTGACACCAAAAATGCTCAGGCTTCAGAAATTTGGAGAATCACCACGTACTGTGAAAATCCTTGTTCATCGCTATTCCCACACTTGCCATCTTCTCTGGTTCAAAGGGAGCTCATTTCATCGGGATTGCTAACAAAGGCAGAGCCGAGCATGCAGGAGCCCCTTTGCTGAGCAGCGGGAGGGCAGCAGGCAGAGCTGGGGCGTGCGCCCCCCACGTTGCGGCAGGCAGGAGCCGGCAACGAGGGACGGTGAAACAATGGCCCTGTCTCCCACTGAAAGCAAAGGGCAGTCGCCCGATGCTTGCAAGCCCAGCGTGGCCAAAAACCAGCACCCAGTGGGTATCTCCATCAGCTGGGTTCAGTTCAGAAAACCCCCCCTTTCTCCCCAGCTCGCGGGGTGAGATTGGGGTTCCCCAGCTGTGGGCACAAGCTCGACCCTCCCGCCTCCCCCTGACCATACTGCCAGCCCAGGGCCACCCAGTTTCACCCGCAGAGGGGACCCGCACTCACATCTGTCCCTCGGGGGCGTAGGTGGAGCCGGTGATGCTGAACTCGTGCAGGCTGCACTGGGCACCCTCCACCTTCTCCATAATGAACATCTGCAAGGGGAAAAGACAGAGCATTAAGCAACGAGCAATTTTTGGTACAATCCCACGTGCCCAGCCTGGAGACCTGCCAGCCGATGCCGTCCCAGCAATGGCCCTGCTGGCACCGGGCTCAGCCCCCTCCCTGGTCACCCACCGCTCCTGGCCATCCCCGAATCCTTCCAGCTCTCCCCTGCCTTTTTCACGTTCACCTCCTCCAGCTCTTTGTTTCCATCGGAGAGGAGCGGTGCCGAGCCAGTTCCTAACAAAGTGCCTGTGTTTTTCTTGGAGCAGAGAAGGAGCAGGGTTGGGGTTTCTGCTCCTGCCCCAGCTGCCCTGGAAAGCCTCCGCAAGGCAGGATCTGGCAGCTCAGTAAAAAAACCCCAAGGAGCCGTAAAAGTCCCACATGCTCTATTTTTAGTGATTTTTGCCTTTCAAACTCCTTCCAGTTTCTCTCTTGTTGTTATAATGAGAGCAACAAAACCAAAAAAAACCCAAAACAAACCAACCAGTAAAAATCCCCCTTCTCCCCAGGCTCTCCCAATCCCCCCTTGCACAGCCCACCCTTTGGGGCATCTCTGATGGCAGCAAGAGCAGTGCCCAACCCCAGCCAGGGCGACAGTTTGGCGACGCTCGTTCCTGCTTAATCGTTATTTATGACCCGTGCTTGAGCCAAAAAGTAACATAATAAATAAATAAATAAATAGAATTGGTTTGACGGATGCGTTTCCCTGGCCACAAGCTCCTGCAGGGAGCAGCCAGGAGGGACAAAGGCTGCAGGAGAGCGATGCCCTCAGCTCTACAGACCTGCACCACGGCTCCAGAACATGGGCACAGGGGCAACTGTCCCTCACCACCCAGTCTCAAATAATTTATTTTCCCATTTATTTTTCCTCTGTTCATTTGAGATGTTCCCCAGGAGAAATCAGGAAGCATCGCTCAGCACCAGAGATGCAACGGCTCTGGGTACCATCCGCTTCTCTCCCCTCTGGCAACAAACTATTAATTACTGTTAATAATACAAAGATACCCCACTAGTGCAGCTGCTGGTGGGTGGGAGAGCTCCCCATGCAGCCCGGTATCCCCATGCGCAAGCTTAGGGCCAAGCCAAGGGGAAAAGGCCAAGCTTAGGGAAGCACGTTTATGGCAGGTTTAGTACCGGGACACCTCAGTGGGTTTTCTCACCTCTGTATTTTACAGGTTTGGGCAAATCAGAGCAGGGGGTTCAAAGTGCTATGTAAATACTTCTGAGCCCAGAGCAACCTCCCCACAGCTTCATAGCCATTTGCAGTACCCCATTTGCTGGGCTATTGCCCTCAGCTCCTTTCGCAGAGCCCATCCTCGAGGCTCCTCAGCATCCCTGAAGGATTTTGAAGAAAATCACAAGCCAAAGGCGTTGCAGAAGGACTCAGACATCCCAGGCCCTCTGCTGAGGCACAGAGCTCCTCTGGCAGGGGCTGCAAACACACGAAGGATCTCAATAAAGAGAGCCAAAACACATCACATCTCCTTCAGTGATTTAATTGCCCCAAGATGACAGACTCCAGGAATGGAGGCAAAGCGTGGCTGAAATTTCCCAAAGTGGAGGCTTCTGCAACACCAAAAGGGACCTTCGAAGGGTGAGTATCCTTCACCTCTTTTTGAGATGTCCAACACCATCAGCCTTCCAGAGAGCCAAAAATCTCCTGGTCTCTTCAGAAAATGGACTCCTGCAGTCAGAAATGCCAACTGGACTCTTACTTATTAAAAAAAAAAAAAAATCTGAAAGCATCCACCCCAGCCACTGGTGGTTTTGCCTGATACGAGCCTGTTTGTTTTTTAAATGCTCATGGCTACAAAACAATTACTACTTTCACAATAGCAACTTTCTTATTAAAAAAGAAAAAGAACAACAACAACAAAAAAAAAATCATTCCAAGCCCTTTATTTTTCCATGCCTATTTAAAAAGGTGCTGCGTAACCCACAACAACCAGAGGTTATATCAAATTTCCTGCCTGCTCCTGGCTTGCGTGACTGGCAGAGCGAGGGGGCGGCCAGGGCATTGCAAAGGTGTTTGCAGGTTTCTTGGCGTGATGTTTCGGCAGATTGCCAGGCTGAAAAAAGAGGGCAGGTTTGCAGGCAGTGGAAACAGTCCGGAGGAAATAGCTGTGTCTTAATCTGTGAAGAGGATAAGCAAGGTTTCTGTCCCAAAAATAATAAAAATTAATAGCAGGAGCAATAGGAGGAGGTGGTAAAGCTGTACGCTGCAGCTTGGCTGGGCGGTTGGGGGCGGCTGCCAAAGAGAGATGCTTGCAGGGGGGCTGCCTGACTCCCTGCATGGCCATGGTGAACACCAGCTCCAGCACACAGCAAGGGGAACCCAGCCAGCACCCCCCTGCCCTTTTAAAACCACGCCGGCAACTTGGGGGTTTAATGCAACAGCGAGAGGGAAAGGAAGACGTTACTATGTGCTTACGAAGAGCACACCCTGCTCCTCCTGCCCCGCCGATCTTGCCTGGCCCAGGCACCGTATCACACAGCCAGACGCTGCTGGCATGCATTTTTAGGAAGCAACGGGCACTCATGGATGCACCATCCCTGGAACTGCGCAGGGCATCTGGCTGCAGGCTTGCAGGGAGGAGAGATGTGAAGGATACATCTCCACATTTCTGTATTTTCTGTAATATCTTTAAAAAACTACTCATCAAAAGGCAGACAAGATTGGATTGCTGTCTGGAGTAGTAAGAGGCTGTAATCATCAGCCATTTACCCATCAATCAGCATCATTTTCCTCCTGTGCTGGAAGCAGCCACGGCCGACAGGCACCCACCGGCAGCTGGCACAGCCGACGGCTCAGCCACAGCCCCTGGGAAACCCCCGGCAAGATCTCCCATTAATTTAGTGACTGATTTAGGTAGACAAAACTACCGAGTCAAGGCACAGCGTCCTGGAGATTAAAAAGCAAATAGCGCCTGCACAGCTCCTGGGCAGCTGCACCGGGGATGGGAGTTTGCACGTCCAGGCTCTGCTACAAGGTTTACTGAAAATAACCCCCTTCCCGCTCTGGTTCCCCAAAACACCAGCCACCTCCAAGACAGCCAAACGTCACCAGCCACCTCCTGACTCTCAAACACTGCCCTCGTGCTCCTCAAAAATGAAGTTACGGTGCATATAAGGGTGTGGCAACTTTTAGGAGACTGATTTGAACGCAGCGGAGCAGAGCTGCAGTGCCCCTCTGCCCCCTTCTCCCCCTGCCAGGCTCCCATCACGCCCACCTGCACATTATTTAATGGTTGGGAAAGGCCGTCCCCAGTTGCTCCGCACCATGGGCTGGGTGAGATGGTGGTCTCAGAGCCCCCCAGTTGACCATACGGCGAGTGACACGAACCACAGGTTCCATCTGATTTACTAAGGGGGTCTGTGGCTTTACCGCGTTACTGCAGAGCTGTAACCTCTGGTGGTCTCGAGGCCAGAGCAAAAGCACCAAAGTCTCAGGCATCCCAGATGAACGAGGCCCCTGGCACAAAGCCCTGCAGGGGGCACTTAATGAGCATTTGGGTGGCACCGCTTCGCCCACCCCACCTGCACAGCGTCCATATGCTGAGCTGGCTCAGCCGGCACGGTCCTGGGCGCTGAGCAGGACCCAGAGCAGGTGGTGCAGCCCTTAAAAAAAAGCAGCCGAGGGTTTTAAAACAGACTTGAAGCCTCTCAAGAGTCACTTTACTGTTCTGCAGACCTGACGCCGGCAGCGAGATGTAAAGGGCAAGCACCGCTCAGCAGCATACCCTGCAGCTGAGCAGCTGCGCTAACCCAAATTAAATGTGTGTGTTAATTAAAAAGCACTCAATTCATAATTTTTTCAGGTTATCGATAGGCTTTCGTGGCTTTTGCACCCCCCACAGCTGCGCCAGCCGCCCAGCACGGCAGCACGTCCCGGACACA